TTACTTACTCAGTCAAACAAATAGGCTAAAGGAATTGTACCAAAAGAATTAAACGAATTCTTTGTCATGATTTGTTTGACACTTTGGTATGTTTGTAGAAATTTTTTGTCTGATAGTGGCTTAAACACAGCAGCGCAGGGCAATTTTTGGTAAGGAAATTTAACATTGGAGAGAGGTGGGTGGCTGAGAAATGTCAACAAAACATTTCCGTGGATAAACAAACATCATCGGTCAGTTTTCTTTGAGAAAGTTTTGGTTTCTGTATGATCATTCTGACATTAGTAATCTATCATTTGCCTTGAATTTGGAGAATGCGGTCAAAGTATATCATTATTCTTATTACCTTTAGTACTTTATTGCCTACAGGTAAAGTTTTTAATGACATATAATTGTTAAAGATGAAAGCAGTGACAATAAACTGTCGTTTTTCTAGCTGAAATTCAATTCTAAGATAGATTTTTGGAAGCAATGATAATTTTATATCGTTTTAGTTAAGTGAATTTTTGTTTTAAGACGGATTTCAATGCATATTGCAAACGCCAGTCAATCCGAATGCAGTGTGCGAGACAAATACTTACTGTATTAAGTTGACCTGTAGCAAACCAGGTAATCTGTTTTCTATTACTTGAGCAGTAACTTTTACTATTAAATTTATCGTCGATGACGGTTGATGTTTCCGGGCGGGTTTCTTTTTGTGGTCTTTTATGTAGTCCTTATAGGAACTGAGTTTGAAACTAGGCTGTTGAACGCTTTAAATAGCATATGTGCATTAGTCAAATGTTTTTCTGTGTTACTTCTACTCAAACTTACTGCTTTCTGAACATTTAAGATGTTAGCTAATTCTTAATTTTTTTGATGCGCCACAGTGCTTTTCGCTGTCTAGATGAGTACAGTGTATTTGATGAATGTTCTTGTAAAATATTCCTGAATAAATCTGCTTTTTTATTTTACAGAAATATTTATAATTGACTTTGGCTATTAAACTGCTTTAAAGTTAGATAGATTTGAAGTCACATTTGAGACAAATTTATTTCTTAATCTGCTGCATTTAATTGCACGTAACCGAAATTTGTTACTAGCATTACCATTTTCAGATGTGTTGACGTTGCGTGGCTGTGACGGTATTTCTCCTGGTTGGTCATGCGACAGGTTGACGCAGCAGTGTACAGACCAAGGTGACCCGGAACCTCATTGTTACCAATGTATTGGAGATCGGTGCAATTCAGCCTTCGCTGTATCAGTTTTTGGCTTTTTGATAATATTTACTGTGCTGTTGCCTTTTTTTTCTATATAAGCATTTGCTATAATGAGACATTCTTTCCTGCTTTCTAGTGTCATAGTGGATTTTAATGGTAAAGTGACAACTTTTTGGTTTGTATGAATTGTTTCACAACATTTTTCTGAAATCTTTCAATTATTGGGTCATTTATTTAGCATTTCTGCCAAAAAAATTTTATTCTCCCAGATTACCGTTTCCAGAGAACAATTTGATTTGCAACATTTTAGACGTTTAAATAACTTTTTTTCGTAAGGTTTTTCTGCAGCAATTTTGTTATTTTTCAAAACTGCTGGTCTATTCTATGCACATTTTTTGAACTTTTGCATTTATTGAAGCCCGCCGACAAGAGATTTCGATTTGTGTGATACGGCAATGACAACCTACGACTTCAATAAATTCAATAATATTGTATGTATAGACGTATTATACAATGTACGTTCCATTGATAAGTGTTTTTTTTTTTCTGTTACGTGTTAACGTTACTTCTGCCAAGCAAACATAAGAGTTTAAGGCTTACTTCGCTCTACAACATTTCTTTTTCATTATTCTTCGTAAGTAACAGTTAATTTATTCAAAAAAATCATCATATTTTTTGCTTTTAAGACAATTTATGTGATAGGAGTTGACGAATCTTGACACTGATCTATGTTCAACTGATGCCCCTTGCCTGAAGTGACCCCTTAAACAGTATCTAAAGTCTAGGAACTAGAGTGGGTGAAGAAGCACGTATAATTTTATAAACTCAAAGATGAATAGGTCCCTTGACAAATGTTATCTGCTCTGCATGGTCCACCAAGGGACGTCCTTTTTGTAGCTAATTTGCGCTTTGACATATAATATGAAGTTAATATAAAGAAAGATTTTTGATTTTATTTATTTTCACTTCACATTTTTCTCTGCGGCGATCTTTTCTTTTCTGCTCCAAATTGTTTCTGACTTCCTAACCGATAAATGCAAGCATCTGCTACAATGCAATGCCAATAAACTGATGAAATTCGGAGGGCCACGCAAAACTAATGTTTCAAAAATTCAATTTCATTTTTTTGCTTGTTATTCAAATATCTGAATAACTTGGTTTAAAAAAAAACAGCTGGGAATTTTATGCGGTACGAATTTAACTAATACGGCATTTGAATGGTGGCAGGTTTCAAGCATAAACAAAAACTGTGCAACAATTTATACCCTGTCGCCTTCCGACCGTCAAATGTAGCAACTGTCAAAGTATAGTCTAAATTTCAAAAAGAATGAAAAAAAACTTTTTCAATATTTAGAGTTTTTGAAAATTTTTTTCAGCACTATTTGACAAATTCTTAAAGGTTTAGTTTTTTTAAATGGGAAAAGATTTGTGTGGTTTATTTGTTAGTGTAATGATGCGCAGATTCCACCAGACGTCACCCTACAACTGACTTTGGAAATTTGGAAGTAGCGGCTAAAACATATCCTTCGGGTGATTACCTTTAAGTGCACCTTGATTTTGGAGAATTCTATCCAAAGTCAGGAAAAAGAGGAGATTTCGTTATGCAGTAGAGGACAAATAGCGAGAAGAGAGCAGATTGAGAAACGACCAGAAGGGGGAGTGGGGGTGGGGGGAAAAATACTAAGATACAACTTTAAATCTCAAACAGAGGCCACTTGACTCAATTAGACGGTACTTTTACTCATCAGTAGTCATGGAAAAATGCAAAAAGTAATGTTGTGTATATAAGCAGCGGAGGTACATTGCAAGACGGCTTAGATGAAGTTGAAAGATGCAAAATTACAATATAAAACGAATAGCACCAGAACAAATTGTTTCGGTTTCTGATCCTGACCTTTTAATTAAAATTATTACTTTAAAACATATTTATGCTAG